TTATGCAAGAGTCTGTGCTGCGGCCTTGAGACATAAGCGGGGAGCACAGCCTCTTGCATAACGCATAACACATAAAACATAAGAAATTCAACCAATCAGAATTCTTTATTTCATTGAAAGGATGAAAATGAAGGACTTTGAGGGTGCCGTCACATGTACACGGCATCGGAACGACGGAACGGATTTCTTACTAGAAATAAGTTCACTAGCATTTTGTTCCGTAAGAAGTTTCTCTGCTGTATCGGAACCATCGGAACTATGGCCGGAACGGTACAACGGAATCAACGGAATGTTACATCGATTATGATTTTAGAAGCTGTATTTGCTCCAATACGAAATGCATATGAAAGAGATGCCATACTATCACCAGATGCCAACCAGCGTAAAACCAGTTGCAATCTTGTACGAGATGAAATTGGAACTCGGCATAATTCTTGCTTCTCAATAAGTGGTCCAACTAATGACAGCAGTTCTTCAAATAATTCCGGAGTCATTCTAAAGTAATTGAAGAACTTCTCACGATCGGTCGTTTGCATTTCAACGACTAAATTGTCACTTGCGCCTTGAAGATGTCTCATTCTTTGTGTAAACATTGGCCGTACCCAAAATTTTCGTTTTCTTGTATATTTTTTATTTTGTAATAAAATATTATAAGCGAAATATAATTTTCGTACTCTCTTAAATATCAGAATAGCACGCCAACTTGGCATATTTCTTGCATTTCGCAATAATTTTAACATTACAGTTAACACTACTTCTTCGTCCATCGTTGTAATCTCCAAAAAAAAGGTTTCTGAATATTTGTTTTAATTTCACATTCAACCATCTGAGGTGAACATACCATTCCGTTCCGTAAGAAGTTTCTCTACCCGTCCCATGTAGCCGGAACGCAATGGAATTTTGGTAACATAATATATCTCACTCTTATAATTCAGTATTTTTAAGTATTCAAAGTAATGTTATAAATAAGATAATTGCACAAATTATGCATATTACTGCTTTAGTCGCATTAAAATAACGAAATATCGATTAAATTAGGCAAATTAACTTGCGACCGAGGCGACATTCCGTCCATTTTCATTCCGTTCCGGCTACATGGGACGGGTAGAGAAACTTCTTACGGAACGGAATTGTAGTGATCTCAAATTTTCTAGTAAGAAATCCGTTCCGTCGTTCCGATTCCGTGTACATGTGACGGCACCCTCACTCTGTGTGTCGACATCTATGATCTGACGCAAACGACCGTCATAATGAAAATTGTGCATGAGCACCTATAAAAGGTCTGTTCGCGTTGCTTGCACTTTTGGCACTCGGCATCAGACCTAATAAGCGCGCCCTGGTGCGCACTAAAGGCCATCGCACGTACAAACATTTTAGTCGTAATCGCAAGGTCGCAAGTCAATCGACCAATCACAATCAAAATTACGATTTCGCGTTTAAAAACGCTCGACTGTGATTGGCCGATTTGCTTACGGTCTGCTTACGATTACGACTAAAATGTGCATTTAGGTCGCGGCCTACACAATAGATGTTCTTATTTATCCTGTAGGTTAAACAAAAACACCTATCGTATTGGTCGCGGACTAAGCGCACGGTGTAAACGTAGCCAGTATGCATCAAATGATTAATTAAATGCATATATTATATATATGTTTTCACGTATCGCCGAAATTAAAATACGTCAATAAAAAGTTACTATTTAGTATCCGTCCTTGTTTTCCAGCAAGGACCAGTCAGACACTGTGTAATACAGTGAGTCATTTCATCCTTGTTTAACGTTGGCAGACAACAAGGATAAAACAACTCACTGTGGCTGCGGTCCACTTGACGCTACAAACGCTTCGAAACGTTTGAGCGACCAATTAGAACGAAGAATTTTACGAATTAACTAATCAAATAATAGCTGCGTTCAGCAGACTCAACAGTTTTGCAACCGTTTTATGATTGTCTGCTGAGATAGGACCATTCTTCTAGATCTAAAA